CTACTATACTACAGGGTTACCAAGATATCCTCTACTACTATACTACAGGGTTACCTAGATATCCTATACTACTATACTACAGGGTTACAAAGATATCCTCTACAACTATACTCCAGGGTTACCAAGATATCTTCTACAACTATACTCCAGGGTTACCAAGATATCCTCTACTACTATACTACAGGGTTACCAAGATATCCTATACTACTATACTCCAGGGTTACCAAGATATCCTCTACTATACTACAGGGTTACCAAGATATCCTCTACTACTATACTACAGGGTTACCAAGATATCCTCTACAACTATAATACAGGGTTACCAAAATATCCTCTACTACTATACTCCAGGGTTACCAAGATATCCTCTACTACTATACTACAGGGTTACCAAGATATCCTCTACTACTTTAATACAGGGTTACCTAGATATCATCTACTATACTACAGAGTTACCAAGATATCCTCTACAACTATACTACATGGTTACCAAGATATTCTCTACTACTATACTACAGGGTTACCAAGATATCCTCTACTACTATACTACAGGGTTACCAATATATCTTCTACACTATACTACAGGGTCACCAAGATATGATAAGATAAACTTATCCAAACAATCATAAGATAAGAGAAACATATCTAACCAATCAGAAAATAAGAGAAACATATCTAACCAATCAGAAGATAAGAGAAACATAACTTATAAAACAGAAGATCAGAGAAACAAATCTTATCAATCAGAAGCTTAGAGAAACATATCTTACCAATCAGGAGATAAGAGAAACATATCCAACCAATCAGAAGAGAAGAGAAACATATCTAACCAATCAGAAGAGAAGAGAAACATAGCCAATTAATCAGAAGAGAAGAAAAACATATCTAACCAATCAGAAGATAAGAGAAACATATCCAACCAATCAGAAGATAAGAGAAACATATCTAACCAATCAGAAGAGGAGAGAAACATATCCATCCAATCAGAAGATAAGAGAGACATATCCAAACAATCAGAAGATAAAAGAAACATATCCAACCAATCAGAAGATAAGAGAAACATATCTAACCAATGAGGAGGGAACAGTTTTGAGCTCCGTCAAATAGAAAATGAATTCTTCTATAGCTTTGTTAATTAAGAGTTATGATAATGTTTCTAAAAATTTGGATACTATGCAGTTTATTTTCGATAAACTGAATTTATCTAAAGCTTCATTCTTATTTCTTAGTTGGTAAAACTGTAAACCATTCAACTATAGAAAAGGGAAACATTATAAATTTCTTGTAGATTTCTCGGTCCAGCAGTCCTGGTGTTTTATACCCATGGTATATAGCAGGATATTTTAATACAAAACTTGAATCCAATAATATTTTAATCTTTTAAGCCTAGTTCCGGTCCTAGGGCCCAGTTCCTTTTAATATGCAACAATAACTTTTTTACAGAAAAGGAATTAAGTCTTTGCCACAAACTCTGATATTTAAATATTTCAAACTATGAATTCTATTAGATTAAATAATTTAAGTTTGAAATATCAAAGAAAACCTTTTTATTAATTTGAAACGAGATACGGAGTTACCTCAAAACGATGAGACTGTAAAGACGACCTGAAACTCTTGAAAATGGCAATCTCCATGTTAAATTGAGTTTTCAGTTGCGTGGAAATAATAAGTAAAGAGACAGTATAAATTCCTTACAGTCGTTTCTAAAGTCTTATTGTGAATATTCCTGCACATATTCTTGTGATTAACCCTGTACATTCTCGTTGTTACGCGAGCCATGCTGCGTGTATAAAGTCTATATGGTGCCCCTGTGAATTCCTGAGTTCTCCATGCGGATCTGTACAGAACGTATTGTAAAAAACTAGTTTTAGAAGCTGTTTCCAGACCGACTATGCAGGCGCAAGTTTCTCGCGTGGAAGCGGACAGTTTCTACCGTAGTATATATTTGTTTGTCTTGCAAGTTTGTCTATTATTAAAATTCGTGCCAATAATAAGCTTACAAGGAAGCTTTATTAAACTGAGATCCTTTAGTAATCCTAACTCTTATCATTTATTAGATCTGTATCTAGTAAATTTAGGCGGGATGTTTAGTTCAGTTTACAAACTGGATTTGTTTCTCATTGTCAGTATATTGGCCAAATTGGAAAAATATAGTGAAGGACCGAGTGAACAAAGTCTAAGTTATGAAATTGAATGTTAATGGAATGTTCGTGATTGGATGATTGGATGAAAGCAGTTTACCTGAGATTTATGATCCACCGTCTGTACCTTCTTGGTCAATATCTTGAAGGGACGAACACTGGATAAGTCAAGAAGTTTAATTTATTGAGCTATTCCCTCACCGTTAGTATGTTTGCCAGATAGGAGAAATATATTGAGTGAGTGAGGAGAATAACTCTGCCTTGAGATCAATTGATAAACCATGAATGTTGTTGATCATGTTAAGGATAACAATTGATTGAGTCTAATTTATTGAG